TTCTTTTTTAAATTGAGACGTGGAAAACTGAGAGGAGCGTTGATGAGCCTGGAGGAAGAAATTGCCGACTGCAAACATTTCTGATATCCTCTTGATCGCCCGAAATAGGAATTAAGGAGCAACTCCGCTGCTGTGTCCGAAAGCCTCATAGGATTAAACTCTGCTCATCACGCCCGATGGTTAATATACGCGGACTAATAATTAACTTTTCAAGGTGAGATCGGCTCTATTTTCATTATGCTTTTGCTGTGGAGTTTATTCAGAAAGACTGCCTTGCTGCCTGGCGTGGATTACCGTCATTGGATTATTATTTTTATTATTATTATTTGCTACTTTGCCACGCCGGAGTTTGTTGGAAGGATTTTCTTTTTCCTTGATGAACTGGAGCGCAAAGCTGCGCGTCTTTATTGCTGCTGTGCTATTGGACTGAAAATATACGTAGACTCTACAGCCTATGGGTTCTTTATTTTGTTCACTCTACTCTATCTTCTCTCTCTCCTCACCTAAGCACTTGGGAAAAATAAATTTACACTTAAATATTTTCTGTGTTGCATGGTTTAAGCGACTCTCGACTTTTTCTTTGTTAACAACTCCAAACGAGTCGTTACAACGCAATCGCTGCTGTCTGTCCCATAGGAGATAATGACAGCGCGGCGTTTGTTTGGAACTATAGCGCTTGCCCACGAACCACGTGACCACTCGAACAACGAAGTCAATGGGTGTCGCCACTCTGAGTTATCTACCGCTCTGGCCAGGGGTCACTGTGGGGAGAAACTGTTCATTTAGAGATCATGCTTGCATAAAAGAGTGTAAACACACACACACCGACACTGAAAAGTGGGCATTTATCTTTTCTGAACACAAGCAACCACGGTCACCTAGTACAATGATGCTTAAGAAATCCAAGAAAGTAAAGATTACTATCTTTCTACTTTGATGAGACATCACAGGCACTGAACAGAGGGTCTTAGATTCCCTTACATATGCTGTCGGCATGTTACTACTGACCACGATACCCGGAAAGTCTCGTTTTGAGCTCAGGAATGTAGAGCGTGATAAATTTTGAGAAAGGTCTATACTCTACTACTATTTTGATTTTTGACTCGGTTTTTCAGTAAGGGATCTGGTTATTTGGTCGTGAGACTCCCATATCGCTATGTTTCACAAGTTACTGAATGATTTTTTGACATTTTTGTAACATGCAGGTACTTCTTCAGGTTTAAATGTTAACTTGAATGTAAAAAGCTAATATTTAGCACATTTAACTTTCCCATTTCATATATATGTTGCTTTCCAAAGTCAAGCATTCATAGTAAACACAATTACTCAGCGGGAACATGTTTTTGTATGTTACAAGGTCAAAAACAATTCGGGAACTATGTTTCACAAGTTGCTGAAACGTTTTTGACCTTGTAACGTATGTGGCAATGCAAATGGTCAATTGACTCAAACTGTCAAAAGTACCACCTGAGAACCATTGGTGATTGTTCTCACTGTCTTTCTTTCTTTTGTTTTTTGGTTGGCCAAAGCACTGAGGAATATACCTGCCTGTACTTTCCACACCCAATAATCCCAGTTTTGATATGGAAATGAAACAAAGAGACAATTTCAAGTAGCTTTCACACAAGAATGTTGAAGCGATATAAGATAGGACATCAAATATGAAGGGGACAAATATAAACCATAGATATGGCATGTAGATATAGATTTTAAGGTTGATTAGAAAATGAAAGGGTTATTTGAAAGTTATACATAAAATTTAATTTGAGAGGTTTGGGTTTTTTTTACATATTAGTATTTGGAAAGCCAACTTTGAATTTTAAAAAAATTGAAATTTTTTCACTCTCTAGTCCCTTTTGACTAATTCTAACATCTTAGGTATTTGAGTGGCTCTCATGCAAATATTACAGTTGAAACCATGTGTACAAGTGGGACTGGAAGGCAACTCCCACATTCCACACACCCCTTGGGACAACCCCAAAATGTCTATATAAACATTGTACCCAGTCAGAGGAAATACCCTGTGCAGCTTTTCCCTATTATTAATTAGAAGAAGTGTATACTCCAGAATTAACAACCCACTTGACACATAATTACCCCACCAGTCCTAGTCAGGGAATTTTTATGCACCAAAAACTGAAAGATTATCGCTCTGTCGGGCAGAAATGGCCTATTCTTACTGTAATTACTGAAATAGTGCATGGGAATTTTAATTGGGAGACAATAAATGAGAAGTGTAACAAGGATTTTAATTTTCTCATTCAGTTATAGCAGCTTATCAGAAATAAAACTAATTCTTATTCAACTTTCTTAGCTATCTCTGTTTCTAATGAAATATGTTGAAAAAGACTGAAGTTCATTAGCATACATATTTATTAACAAGTACATATTATGACATTCAGTTTGATTACATAGATTTTAACAATGTCGCATTTGGGAATCAGACATGGATCTTAGTTGCACATTATGGCGCTGTTATGGTACTTTCATTAGTAAAGCTACTGATAAACACATAATGAGTCAATAAAATATTAATTCACAAAATTGTTTTATAGCCCCCCTTCCTTCTGATCAGGTTCTTAAAGCCCTAACCAGACTATAAAAGGCATCTCAAAGTGAGTACCTTTAATTGAAAGCAAATGTATCAAGTAACATTTTGTAATGTACTAAATACATTTTAGCAAATGAAATGCATGAAAGTAAAATTTTGTAAATGTACAAAATACATTTAAGTATAAAATATTAGCCCGACTAATTTGTTTTAACACCATAGGAGCATGTATCAGCTCATTTTGAATAACTTTTGATAAGTCCATGACAGGTTAATTCTGACTTTAGTCACTGTTGAAAATGTAGTGAGCACAGCTTATAGTTAACCGTTTCCATTGAACTGAGTATGTAACTTTATGTTTTGAAGGGTGCTCTTTCTAAATTTGATAACGATTTTGTGATATAAACAATACTGTCGTGTGCAAACGGCAATTAAAAAACCTAAGCGCTTGTTCCGTACCGTTATCAGTGATGCTAACTCACACTGGCGGGAGTAAAAGTCGCATATTAAAGTACATGCAGTGCTCCTAGCAGTTTATATAGAACTTGTAGCGAGTACTGAGAATTGCATCAACCTTGAGGAAAATACAGGTCACTCAACAATTTTAGTTTGGTGTTATTTACAAGTATCACTCCCATGTTATGGTATTAGAAAATCTAAAGTATTTATAAAAATGAAAAAACAGGGTCTGATTCTGTTTCTGCTGAAGATACTATTGACCATTACAGTACAAAGCTATAACCAATGGGCATAACATGCTCCAACCCTGATTAAAAATACCTATGAAATCAAACAGTGTCAAAAGGGCATTACGTACTCCAACTACAAATTCTAAAACACATACCTGGTTAAACTGGATTAACTAGACTATCACTGATTACTTTGCTAGTAAACATAACAAAATGAAATAAAGTAATGTTGTTATGAAAAAAATATCTTGCCATTCGAATGTGACCTTTCCAGCCTGTGAATTACCATCTGTATTTTCCTGTTATTGAGGATTTGGATATCACCAGAAAGCCTGCTTTGAAAATTGTAACGAAATGTCACTGGTCTTTCAAAATATCTATTAGAATACATCTTCGACACCATAATTCAGAGTCACTGCCTGTGGGTGACAGATAACTGTTATCACTTAGTGAGAAAAGGAAACAAAGGCCCCGAATGGATTTCCATAACACCTGATACTTGGAGTGGCAACGTTGTTTCCCCACAATAGTGCGCCTCGAATACTTTCATGGCCGCAACCTATGCCGTAAAGCTTCATAAACCCCGGGGCACACGAACTTGCGGATCCAGTGTTGCAGCCTTTCGCCTCACAGCATACCAAGGTTCCAGCATTGCCAGTCACTGAGACAGAGTAGTATATTTTATGTCCAGTATGACCAAATACGGATGTGTCAGACCTGAAATTGAAACAAAGGATATTTGAATTAATTGTATGCTCATGCACAGACTTTTGATGATTGAAGACATAAAAACAAAGACAGCGAAAACAGCAGAAGAGATAGAAATGTCTACGGTGATTGGATATGTGGTTCTATGGTGATAGGATATGTGGTTCTATGGTGATGGGATATGAGGTTCTTTGGTGATAGGATATGTGGTTCTATGGTGATAGGATATGTGGTTCTTTGGTGATAGGATATGTGGTTCTTTGGTGGTAGGATATGTGGTTCTTTGGTGGTAGGATATGTGGTTCTTTGGTGGTAGGATATGTGGTTCTTTGATGGTAGGATATGTGGTTCTTTGGTGATAGGATATGTGGTTCTATGGTGATAGGATATGTGGTTCTATGGTGATAGGATATGTGGTTCTTTGGTGATAGGATATGTGGTTCTATGGTGATAGGATATGTGGTTCTTCGGTGATAGGATATGTGGTTCTTTGGTGATAGGATATGAGGTTCTTTGGTGATAGGATATGTGGTTCTTTGGTGATGGGATATGTGGTTCTATGGTGATAGGATATGTGGTTCTATGGTGATAGGATATGAGGTTCTTTGGTGATAAGATATGTGGTTCTTTGGTGATAGGATATGTGGTTCTATGGTGATAGGATATGTGGTTCTTCGGTGATAGGATATGTGGTTCTTTGGTGATAGGATATGTGGTTCTATGGTGATAGGATATGTGGTTCTATGGTGATAGGAATTGTGGTTCTTTGGTGATAGGATATGTGGTTCTATGGTGGTAGGATATGTGGTTCTTGTGTTTGTGCAGAGATAGTGAGCATCACATAACAATAATCTACAAGTGGGAAATGATTCATAAATGTAATGCGTTCTCCCAGATCAGCAACTTGTGTGGTTTCCTTCAAGACGGCGCAATTCAATTATGCAGTCATTATCAAGGGTCAGAGATAACACAATCTGTCTTCAAATCTTATTCATTGTAGCAATTAATGTATCTTGAAAATTAAAATTTCCACAATAACTAATGTATGGATTGCAAGGATATGCCCAGTGGTTAGAGTGTCTGTCTGTCTGTCAAACAGAAGGGCGTGGGTTCAAATCCTGATAGCGGCGATTTGCTCTCGTTCTTCCTTGAATGAGAAAGGTTGGAGGCTTATCAGCGGGTTATGTCGTCCCCCTCAGTGTCCCACGACTGTTATATCAAAGGTATGTGTGGTAATGCGTGTAAAAGATCCCTTGTCACCTATTGTAAAAAGTAAGGCATCATGCTCGATGACGGGTTTCTCTCTGTCCTACATAGATAAATTGTGCTGAAAAGCGACGTTAATATAATCAAATTAAATCAAAATGACAAAAGAAAAAATACATATAAGAGCAACTGCCTACGTATCATGTCTCTACCTTCCAGAATAGTCAATTCAAACTAGGAACTATTTTCAAGCTTGAAGGTGAATTAAATAAATATGCAGTGATATAGGCAGGCCCAAGCTACCAAACTAATAAAGAAATAAAGATATAGTAATGTTTCAACAGAGAACAGATAAGAGAAATGCAGTCTAATACGTACCTGCATTCTGACCCATAATGAAATAGTGGAGCATAACAGGATCCTCCTGCAGCATTGCAGCACACCATCAGACTCAGGAGCAAGCAAATAGCCAAAACATTTTTGTAGGCGATAGCCATTCTGAAAAAGTAATTAAAAAGACAGTATTGTCAACCTCTTGCAATGTATTCTATAACCTTCTGTTTTTTACACTTTATTTTATGTGAAGTAAGAGAAAGCAGTTAGTGTATGTGTGTGTGTGCGTGGGGGGGGGGTGGGTGTGTGTTTGTGTGTGTGTGTGTGTGACATAGAGACAAAAAAAGATGATCTGATAGATTATTGAAAAAATGCCTATAACATAAACCTACCTACACATACACATATGCATAGGCGCATAAAAATACCATTTATTATTGTCTTTATGTAAACAAAAAGGAAAAGACTTTCCTTTTAGTAGGAAGAGAGAAGAATTCTAACCAAAAAAACTGTCTCAATGTAAGAACATAAAAATAAAATTGAAATCAAACTACTTTTAGATACAAGAAAGACAACAACTAAAAATTCAGTTGCTTCCCTTACTTTGCACATTTAAAACTAGCTGCGTTGATATACATCATAACCAGGAAAGCAAATATGAATACAAAAAAATTATTTTTATCATAATTCCAAAACCAGCCTACTGTCTGTCTGAATCATTGGTATACACATTGTTTCTCCATAAAACAAAGTGCTAAAAGAGCATAATTAGGTAAATGTACTCACCTGATCTTCTTGCTTGAGACAGTGTGTGAAATCTGGATGCTGATGGAGAACTGTTCACAGGCTAAATCCCCAGGCTTTTATACTGAACCAAACTGAGACACATTTCCGAGAAAATGATCCTGAAAATGACCCTGATTGGCTCGGACGCTTATTGGCAGTTGTCTTATCTTGAATTTATTTTGGTGTACTGAACATCCTGAAATTATGGTAGGATGTACGTAATTACGTACTTTCCTGACTGTCAGTGTTTACTGAAACTGTATCCTAATCAATAGTGATATAAACTTTTCCATGTAGTTCCCCCTTGTTGTATAGATAGATATAACATGGAGAAAGGAGTGTAAAAGGAGTGTAAACAAGTTCCTGAAGCTCAACACTTGACACTGTGTCCTGTGTAGACAAGCACTGACGTTAACAACAAAATGAAGAGGCGATTGTGCTAATATATGATGTTTATTCATAATCATAAATAAATGACAATGTATCTGTTGAAATTTCATGACGACCAATTCCTTGAGACACCTGTTGTTCCAGGTGACTGTGGCAAATTACATTTACATTTTAAGGTTGTTAAAGCCGAACAGGCACTGCCACTTTACTGCTGCTTGCAGAACTCTGTTTTACCATTGCTGGTATATATTCATGTAACTTTGCTGGTATTTATTCCTGTAACTTTGCTGGTATTTAATAGTGTCATTATTGCTCCTTTTATGGGGCTCATTTGCACTTCTATAAGCACTTTTGTCATTTATAATTGTGTTCTCTGTATTTTTACATTTCTTTAACTATATTTATATCCTCTATTACATTTTTAATTATTGTATATCAGAAAGGAGACCTCAGATATACTATCTATATGATCCACACAACATCAGGAGCAGCTCGTTAGGCTACTGTAGGGAATGTGATGTCATGCTGGATGTTTTGTGTCATTTATTGTATAGTGTGTTTTAATGTTTTATGTTGGACTACAGATGGAAATTAGCTTTCTGCTAAATCTAGTGTGCCCATCTTTTCGTTTCTTGCAAATGATTAATGTAAGCACATGCTGTCCTTAAATAAATAGATAAATAATCAAGTGGTATCCCAAAAAAAACATTCATGAGCTCAGGAATCTGTCCAGAGTTTGTCAACTAAAGCAAACTAGGCGGTGATAAGAGTTATCTATATCATTCAGATCAATACGGGAATTCATTTGATGTTGTATTCCTTACACAGCATAATGTTCATTAAAACAATGACAGCTGGAATACACACAGCTGTGTCTTTGGTTTTACTATATTGGTAATGCTCATAACATTGAATTATGAGGGATCAAAAAACTTCTCAGTGATCCAACGAGGCAAAACAAAACAAACAAAACAGGAATGTAAAAGTTAATTGCATTAAATGTGTCATTATAATACTGAAAATGATCTGTTTTTTGAACAAAATGTTTGTTCTGTAGGAAATGAATATTCTTCAACATGGCTAGGAAAACTGGATATTACAGATGAACATATGATGGATAGCAGTAAAACACCATTTTGATATTCCTTTAAGTCTGAAAACAAATATACTACTCAAAAGTTGATAGGGATCATAGGATTTTTTTTGTGAAATGACATGCAAATTTGGTAACTGTTACTGATGAACAATATATTGGATAAATGACATGCAGTCAGACACAAAACACATTTGCACGTGCATTTCATGACATTAAATGAGCGTGCAGCCTCACATTTTGGCTTTGACTAACACTTCACCATTTCAACTCAGGCGTGTGTGTTGTTTGTTGGTGAAAATTTGGAAGTTCCCAAATTTTTGCATTACATTTAGCAATAACAATGTCTCCTCAACGTCTTAGACGTCGATTGACTTCAGAGCAATTGGGAAGATGCATCGGAATGCTTGACTCTGGCTTCTCACAACGTCACGTTGCTAATGCACTTAACGTCAGCCAAAGCGTTGTGAACAGAGCGTGGAACCGGCATCAAACGTTTGGTACAGCAGCACACCGTCATGGGGGTGGTCGTCAGAGATCGACTACACAATGAAAAGACCACTTTCTCACACTTCAGGCACGACGTCATCCTTTCTGGACAGCCACTACCCTCACGAAAATGACCTTCATAACGCCTCGGGGGTCAGGGTATCCATTCAGACGATACGGAATCGTCTTCATACTGCCGGCCTCAACTCAAGAAGGCCATGTGTTCGAATCCCACTGACGGTGCGTCATAGGCGTGACCGTTTGGATTGGGCTCACGATCATGTCACATGGATACACAACGATTGGGCTCCAGTTCTCTTTACTAATGAATCCCGATATTGCTTGGACTTTACTGACAGGAGGCAACGGGTGTGGCGAAGACAACGTGAGCGATTTAATGATGCCTACATCAACGAACACGACCGTTATGGTGGCGGATCAATTATGGTCTGGGGAGGAATAAGCAGGAACGGCAGAACGGACCTGCATGTCATGGGGAGAGGGACGATGACAGGGGTATGGTACAGGGATGAGATCCTCAATGTGTACGTAAGACCATACGCTGGTGCTGTTGGCCCTGATTTCATCTTGATGGATGATAACGCCCGTCCCCATCGTGCTAGGGTGGTGAATCAATTCCTAGAGCAGGAGACAATTGTCCGCATGGACTGGCCCACGCGTTCGCCGGACCTAAACCCTATCGAGCATGTGTGGAACATGCTGCAGGTTGCCACTTCGGTCGAGGGCACAACCCACAACTCTAGAAGAGCTCGGAAATGCCCTTGTTGAAGAATGGAACAACATTCCAATTGCAAGCATCCGGGTTCTGATTGACAGTATGACCCGACGTTCTCAAGCCGTCATTCAAGCTAGGGGAGGCCATACCCGTTATTGACATTAACTGCGGTAATGAAACATCAAACGAACACTGTCTGTTTTCACTTTACATGTCAGAGGTGAAACCATGAAGTGTTAGTGAAAGCCAAAAATGTGAGGCTGCACGCTCATTTAATGTCATTAAATGCACTTGCAAATGTGTTTTGTGTCTAACTGCATGTCATTTATCCAATATATTGTTCATCAGTGGCAGTTACCAAATTTGCATGTATCAAATTTTGAGTAGTATATACATTTGTTCATATTTATATGAGTTTGTTCAGATATCTAATATGAAAAGATAATACAATCTTTATCTGAAGAAAATTGGACAACTCAGTAAAAAGATACGATCATTTAGAGTTAGCAAAATGAGCCATACAAGTCCCCACAAAAGTTACCAATGACGGGATAACAAATGACCAAGGACAGATTAAACTTTGGACAAGAAAATGTGGTACAGAGTACCACAAGGGGTCGTGATTTTGACAGAAAGCATGTAGGTACGGCACCGTGATGTAACTTGACTGACTGGCTGACTGGAATAACTGATGCAGTGGACTGACTGGCTGGACTGAACTGGACTGTCTGAATGGACTGTCAGTGTGAACTGACTGAATGGACTGACTGAATGGACTGTCAGTCTGGATTGGATTGGACTGTCTGAATGGGCTGTCAGTCTAGACTGTCTGAATGGACTGTCAGTCTGGACTGTCTGAATGGACTGTCAGTTTGGACTGTCTGAATGGACTGTCAGTCTGGATTGGACCCGACTGACTGAATGCACTGTCAGTCTGGACTGGACCTGACTGGACTGATCTGACCGACAAAAATGACTGCCAGGTCGGCCAGCAGATTGATTGTTTGGATGAATCAACTTGATTGATTAGACTGACTGATTTTACTAATTTTCAAACTATCTGACTGACTGACGAACTGTCTGGCTGACTGACTGGC